CGATTAAACATCGACGTTTTAAATAAAAAATTATTTTTTATGAAATTTCAATTTATTTATGTTTTTGTTTTTGTTGAGAAACAAAAGCTTGTCGACGACTGATGGGGAAAGGCGAGTACGACGGTCTGAAATAACTTGGCCTGCCTTGCTAAACAGACGTTCCGACTCGCATGACGAAGCTGGAATGCATAGGAACTTCTTGGATATCTTTTTAAAGCTTCTTCAGTTGAGATCTGAAATAAGATAGTATGTTTAATTTATGTCTTAGCATATAGGGTCTTACCTTCCAATACGCAAGGGGATCGCAGTTTTCCGGCTGGTTCCCTTTTTCTAATGTTGCCGTAACAGAATGACTGAATCAGCACGAAAGGATTGCACTCTTCCCTCATTTTAGTTTTAAGAAATGAGAACCGTGTCGGTTCCTCTGTTGGTGGTGCCGGCTGCGGTCGTGGGATTGTAATACAAATGGAGTTCAGCTCTTCCTGTAGAGCCTTGGCCGCTTCCTCCGCGTTCGATGCGCCAAGGAATCCCTGTTTTTTAAATCGGGGATCAATGATAGTGGCTACGCGTGGATAGTTCTTGTTTCGTATGGAAATAACCTTTCTCGTAAACGAATCTTCACATAATTCGAGGCAGCGATTCCTTCCACTGTTTTAAGTTCCAAGCCATTAATTTAATGGAAAAGTTCGCAAACAACGGGAATAATTAATGAAATTGATACATTTGTGTTCGTTGAAACCGACAGAATTGCATCCGCAAACGGGGCTAACAACATGGATAATTCTTTTAATGTATCAATATCCTCGGCAGACAACGGTAGTGGGGCATTGTGGGATACTGCCAAGACTACACTTATGTATTCGTTTGTTATAATTATTCTTTTAATCATCTCGTACGCGCTATTCCAGCGGGTCGGCATTTCTTGTATCAGGCCGTACGGATTTTCTGTTTTTTGCGCTGCCTTAAATTTAGCATACGCAGTATGCTAAACTTCGAACTTCGAACTTCGTTTGAAAAAAGCTACTATTGTCTTACACCTGCTTAGAATATCATCTAAAATTTGCTGTTTCAACATGTCCTGGACCAGCAGGTTGATTGTGTGGGCCACACACGGTAAGTGTTTGTATTTTAATGACTCGCATGCTTTTTTCATCGATGCATCGTTGTCTGAAACCATACATACCACTTTTTGCGATATCGACCAATCTGATAGCACCGATTAATGGTATCTGCTATATTCGCAGCTGTGTGATTGGTTGGCGTTAGAAGATGCTGCGTTGCTAAAATGGCTGATTCCAATTTGAAATTGGTGGATATAAAATGACATGTTATAGTTATGTAGCCTTCGTTGGCTCGAGATGTCCACAGGTCTGTGGTTAATGCCAGATAATTAACGCTGTTCAGTATTTCTCTCAGCTTTGCTTTACATTTTTATACCCTTGCAGGGTATTATAATTTCAGTCAGAAGTTTGCAACGCAGTGAAGGAGGCACCTCCGACTATATAAAGTATATATATTCTTGATCAGGATCAACAGCCGAGTCGATCTAGCCATGTCCGTCTGTCCGTCTGTCCGTTTCTACGCAAACTAGTCTCTCAGTTTTGGAGCTATCTGAATGAAACTTTGCAGTTAGTTTTCTATATACTTTCACTCGTATATATGTCGGAACGGGCCGGATCGGACGACTATATCATATAGCTGTCATAGGAATGATCGGAAAAGTTTTACAAAAAAAATTATAAAATTTTTAGTTTTCAACAGAATTTGATCAAATTTGAGATATAGCCATTTCATATTATTCTACAATTTTGTGTAAAATTTTATGAAAATCGGACGACTATCATATAGCTCCCATAGGAACGATCGAGAAATTAATTCAATTAAAAAGTATAACATTTTCAGTTTTCAACAGATTTTCATCAAATTTGAGATATAGCCGTTTCATATTATTCTACAATTTTGTGTAAAATTTTATGAAAATCGGACTAATATATCATATAGCTCCCATAGGAACGATCGATAAATTTGAGAGGAATGAGAATGGCGGTGGCTGTTGTCGGAAGACTGACAATCGCGGTGGCGATAACATTTTTAGTTTTCAACAGAATTTAATCAAATTTGAGATATAGCCATTTCATATTATTCTAAAATTTTGTGTAAAATTTTATGAAAATCGGATTACTATATCATATAGCTCCCATAGGAACTATCGATAAATTAATACAATTAAATTTATAACTTTTTTAGTTTTCAGCTGATTTTCATCAAATTTGAGGTATAGCCATTTTAAATAAGTCTTAAATTTTGTGGCAAATTTCATAAAAACCGGACGACTATATCATATAGGTGCCATACAAACGATCGTTTGATGTAGAGGAAAAATGCAAATCTGTGAATGTAAAACTGCAAATATAATATGTATAGGTGAATGAAATGAAAGCAGGTATTACTTCATTGTTTTTTAACACAAATATATATAATTAATATTGTATGGATTCCTATTCATAGAAGTTCTATCTGCAAGGGTATATAAACTTCGGCGTGCCGAAGTTAGCTCCTTTCTTGTTCATATTGTATTGGCAAAGAAACATCCCGCAAGTATGTCCTACTTGGCAATTTGTATCGAGGGTCCATTTCTTTCAGGAGGGCAATGAAACCCTCATCCTCGACACAACTAAAAGGCTGAACATCCACAGCAATCATGTTTAGCACCATTTCATCAATCTTTCTTTTCCTCGCCGAATCATTGATATAATGCACAGTGGACTTTCCCATAAACACATCTAAAGCGGTTGTATGATTTTTGCCTTTGCTGTCTTTAAGCCGTTCTGGATGTACGTTGCTCAGATGGTTAAGAAGGTTTGTGGTGTTTCCCATCGTTTTTATGGCCTTTCCACAGTAATTACAAACGGCATGTGTTTTTTTCAACCGTTTTCTTGAAATGATTCCAAGCGATGGAAGCTTCTCGTTTCTTTTTTGAGCTGGCTCCTCCACATTTTCCTCTGAATTTGATGTTCCTTAAAAAGTAATATTTTCATATAAACATAAAACGTATAACGTACAAATGTACATATGTACATATCATGCGGTTGCATCCAAGCAGAGGTACACATATTCAGGCATTTATGTCCAAATTTCGACAGCTTTTATATTAAAATTACTTACGTTTCAGGTATCTGTCCATGACCGTCCACTCCACTACTTCAGCCAACACCACCAACAGAACACTAATATGAAACATAATATAAGTAATTTATAAATAATAAATTAATCCCAATTTACTTACAATTACGCGTTTTCTTCTTCGATGCGGACGTAGAGATGGAAAAAATCGATGTTGGCTGGCCAATGAATTGCTTGGACTGGATTACATGATTGAGCTGGTAGACATCTTTGTTCTTGGCAGCGAGAGTCGCTCGTCCACTAAGCCCATCGTGATTCCTATAATTTATTCGGATATCGAGTTTGAATTTACATCTTCGCAATACTTTCCCTTGCCAGATGCTCTGGAAATGTTGCACGTAGGAGTCTCGATGATTTGCATGTTCAACGGCAACTTCAGCGCTGAATGAGCAGTCCTCCCACCAGGTAACAATATCGCAGCGATTCTAGATGAAGCAAGAGCTAAAGCTATGTCCTTGTTAGCTCGAACCGTAGCCAGAATCAATGTAATGAGGAATGTTTTCCTTGTTCCTCCTGGAGCATCCGAGCTTCAGCTACCCTTGCCCTGTCGAATTCATTATTTTGAGAGTGAATCAAATCGATTGCTGCAGAACGCGACTGCCTAACTCTCACTCGTTTTCTCTCAAGCCTATCTGATCGTCTTTCTGCTGATTCCGCGTTGGCATCTGCATTGCTTTCAGCCGCTAAGTCTCTCGGATGGAGGCCCGTTCTTCGTCAGTCATATTCGTAATCTTCCGTCTTTTTGCTTCAGTATTGCGAGTACGACGACCCAAACTCGACTTCTTGGGTGGCATGACTTCGTTTCTTACTGAACCTGAACAAAAAAATAAAATTTTGATCTCCAATTTCTTCTTTCAATATGTTTTGAATGTTTGACAGGAAATGCTTCGATTCAGCTGGCTGCCTGTAGAGGGCGCAGCAGTAGGGGCACTGGGAAACGCGAAAAAAACTGATATATTCGCAATCGCAGATAAGCTATCAACATCAAAAGTAGACAATAACCGAGCTGGAACCTCAACGCATATTGTGTAAATTTCATTGATTCATCAACAATTCATCGATGATTCATTAATAAAATGACTTTTGGGAAATATATTGTCAGGAAAAACAAAAATTAAATTAAAATAAGTGGTAATTATAGTTAGATAACTTAAATAATTTGTCCCCAATGCAAGCGCTAACCGCTAAGTATTGCTGTGACGTCATAAGCAAGTGAGCCGCCGCTTGGGCCCACTGGCTGTGGCCGTCCGAAACCTATGAAAAAGACTCTGCGAACAGAAATTTGCACACGCATACAAACGTGTGAGCGCTTGTACACATATACACATATACAAAGAAACGGGAGCACAGCGCACAGAAACGTGTGCTCGGTTTCGAACGACTGCTTCGAACTCGAAAAAGCCGAAGGCACTCTGAGGTTCTAGACATATCGTTCGGGTGCTCTGGGGCATAGTAGAATTTTCGTTTGTCAAAGGAATGGGTTGTGTGCGGACGATTTTTTTTTTTTTACTATTAACCCTTGTGTGAGATGTCGTTCTGCAATTTCTGTCGAAAGCACGTGCATGGAGGAAAATTGATAAAAGTGATTGTGGAAGGAAATTAAGGAGCTGGAAATTGGTTTTTTAGATATAGTTTCTGATTATTTAGTACTACAAAAACGTTAAGGAGAAACTATTAATAGGTGCTATGAATATAAGCATTAATTTAGATATAAAAAAATTTTACTTTAAGATTCGCATATATTTTAAAATTAAGAATTTAAACAAAAAATAGGTATACAAAAACAAAATTAAGTAATTAATTAATTTCAAATTCAAACTATTAAAAATTAAACAATAAAACAGTTTAACTCCTTTTTCTATATATGAACAATTTAACCCCCATGGACTATCTAAGGGTTAAACTAAAAGCTCTTTTGTCGTTTCACTCGCACTTACTTCGCAGACTCCTCTCACTCGCACTTGTTGTGAGTAATGAATAGGGGAGTGCTTTTGCCGACGAGACTACCTTGTATAATTCTACCAAGCTCTGGGGTTCCAGGCTCAGCCGTTTTTGTGATAGTACTTTTTGGTACTGTTTGACACCTCTATGTGTTTCTTGCTTAGTGGTATGAGAGAGCTGCTGGCTCTAGAGCCAGCACGAAAACATCGCTGTATGCGTGAGAGTGCTCTAGACTCTAGAGAGCGGCTGGCTCTAGAGCGCTCTCTCGCTGGCTTTTGAATGAAAAATGTAAGAGAGCCTGGAGCCAGTTCAAAAGCCAGCACGAAAAAATCGTATGGCGTTACAAATCTTCCACTCTATACACCCTTTGCCCTTACCCTTTACACGAACTGAAAACCCGAAGCCCTCCCGACGAATACCAAAAATATCTTCTTCTCTGTCATTCTCATACATTTTTTTTTTTTAATTTAATCTGTAAACTGTAGTACAGGGCGAATTTGACTTCGTTACACGAAAAATTGACTTGCTAAATTATGACGATTCGCCCGTATATTGAGAAGGAAGCTAAACGAACAAAATCAGGAAAAATCGCCCTATATTTAAGAACAAAATGTAAATTATCCCTAAAAAAACGTGTTTATGGTGGCTTGTCTTGATTTTATGGTGCCATTCCCTAAATTTATGAAAGCCTTTTCTTAATTCTAGAATATGTTTCTTAGTTTAAGGGCGATAATTTTTTAGTGCTGTTTTTCTTAAATCTAGAAAAATATTTTTATGAGTGTATGTACTGCATCTATCCCGAAAAGACTGCAGACTACTAGTGGGAATCCAAAACCTTGGAGAATCTCATCTGTAAGGGCCCAGCCCTAACGCAGGCAAGAGTAAAGCACCTAGGTGCCCCAGTACTGGCATCACTAGTAGATGCCTCCAAGAGGTCGCCAGGTGAACTACTTGCCTTCGCAAAAACTACCGCGATCCTAAAGGACTTCAAGATTCTCCATCCGGATAAATAAGGGCCATACTGGCCTATGATTGGCCCCCTAACCTAACCATTTTTTCTTTTTCGGGAAATGCCCATGTACAAAATGAACATTAATAATTATTAATTAATAATAATTAATTATTAATTTATTAAAATTTAAGAATAGAAATTTATTTCAACATAAATTAAAAGCTTTTCATTTGTTTTCATCGTATTCCTATTTATTTTTTCAGCTATTAAGGAATTAAGAAATATAAAATGATTGAAGATAGGCAAATGCGTAGGTCAATTAAGAAAGAGCAGGATAAATTGAAATATAGAATAAGACTTGCAGCATCTGCAGGAACCTCCAATCATATAGACCGAGAGGAAGATGTAGGTGTTTCAATAGGAAACGTGACAAAAATCTAGACTTTGAAAATGTAGAAATAGAAGAAATTTTAAATGTTGAGGAAGGAATAGCAAATAAATGGGGGCTCTTATTTACATATCGGTTTAAGCAAACAGTTTAACAAAATAGCAGCTTTAGAAGATAAACCGGAATACCTAAATATTGATGTCAATGTTGACGGACTTCCGTTATTTAATAGTTCTCGTGCCCCAATTGTTGCCAATTTTTATTTTAATTAATACCATAAAAAATTTCCTGTTTTGCCAATAGGTGTCTTCATGGGGTATAACAAACCTCTTGATAATTATTTATTATAAGTTCTCCAGCCCCAAATAAATTCTCCATGGAGAATGTTATGAGCCGTAAGTATCATATTCACAGGCTGGCAAATCAGCATATTATATGTATGTGTATGTCTTTGATATTTTAGTAAATTATGATTTTGTTTGTTTCTACAGCGAACGATACCATATGGGAAAAATTGATGGTAAGTATTTTATGAAGTTTAGTATAAAGTTTTTAATAATAATTTAATATGACAACATTGTAATCATTTAGGTCTTCAGAAAGATGTGAAGGAGATGCGGTTGGATGTCGAGGTAATAAAAACATCCCTTGGAACGATGTCGGATGCCATCGGCTCCCTAACGGTTTTCGTAAAGCTCGTCTTTAACCCTCTAATACCCAAGATTAATAAAATTACTTCAAAAACAGCCTAATAAAAACTATTGTTCTTGAAGGTAAGATATTATAATATCCAAATCAAGTTGCATATATGCAACTTTATACAAATAATGCGTTGCAGCGGTGAAGTTGTGATAAGTGCCTTGAGGCACTGTTGGGACACCACGCGACCTTTTACAAACACACACAATTTTTGTGTTTGTTTCTGTTTATTAAATGGTTTCTCATTGAAGGCAAACCGAAATGGCAGGTCGAATGCGTACACGGTTTAAATTATCTGAGTTGATCGATGAAAAGTTGCTGGATTTGTTCAATGATTGTGAAACGGACGAGGAACTCTTGTGTAAGTCTAGTGATGACGATGAAGACAGCTTGGATTTAGTAAAAGCACCTAACCCGGCATTATAGGACGCCAAAACTTTCATTTATAGACAATAGCGGTGATAATGGCAAAAAAAAAAAACGTACAGCAGCTGGAAAATACCCAAAATCCTGTAAAGAAACCTCGTTCATCACCAAAATTAAAATAAAACAAAATATGAAAAAATTGACTTAAACCCCCAAGAGTGCCTTGAGGCACTTATTTACCTTTGTTCTATTTACAAGTATACTAAGATTAGTACACACTTCTTGAGGTCATATTTGAAATTAAAAGCTATCATTTACGCAAAAAAATATTATCCAACATAGTTTTTTTTTTTAATATTTCTAAAATTGTGGCTTAGAGGGTTAAGGAAAAGGCGCAGGAGAAGAGTTTTCTGGAGGTGTCATTTCTGTAGAAAATAAAGTAATCTGTATATTTCACTCTGTTATGTATAAGAAAGAGACCATAAAGAATACATATGTATTTGTCTTACTGTAAGGAATACAGAACAAGAAAATATGTATGTTTACTCATTATTTGTTTCTTCTTTCAACTTCAATGTCAGTCGCAAATAAAATTCCGCACGCAGCATACACACGGTGTTCTAATTTGTCGCATAGAATTCTTTCGCCCAAGAAATTCCTCTAAGGACGGAAGAACCCCTCCAGAGAACGGATTCCCTAATAAACTAGGAATCATTACCAAAACTTGTAAGTATTTCTTACCACGAGATCTTTTGTATATATATTTTTATACCCTTGCAGCGTATTATAATTTCAGTCAGAAGTTTGCAACGCAGTGAAGGAGGCACCTCCGACTATATAAAGTATATATATTCTTGATCAGGATCAACAAGCGAGTCGATCTAGCCATGTCCGTCTGTCCTTCTGTCCGTCTGTCCGTCTGTCCGTTTCTACGCAAACTAGTCTCTCAGTTTTGAAGCTATCTGAATGAAACTTTGTAGTTAGCCTTCTATATACTCTCACCCGTATATACATATGTCGGATCGGACGACTATATCATATGGCTGCCATAGGAATGATCGAGAAATTAATGGAATTAAATTTATGATTTTTTAGTTTTCAGCTGATTTTCATCAAATT